GGCAAAAAGACAGAAATGTTTTGTTGGAATTAAATAATTCCATATTAAAACTTGAAAAATCATACCGTATTGTCGCGAAATAACGCGCAGGGGTAAAATTACGAATTTCGACCTAAATTAGTCTTAATTCGGGACATTATTCCCATGCCCATTATTTCGCGACAATACGGTATGTAGGCACATTTAATGCGGAAGCAAATTTATTAAAATCAATATCAGGAGATTAAATAAGGTAGGTATATGCGATATTCTTCGGCAACTAAAAACTGTACAATTCTCGGCGATCTACTGTATGAGTGCACAAAACTGCGCAATTAATTAATTCGGATACGTAATTGCAGTAATAATCAGCCGCAGAAATGCGAAATAACCAACTACATTTATTATTTTAAAATGCGAAATTATTACTGTATTATAAAAACTATTAAATTGACATATTTAAATATATTTTTAATAAATTTTACATTTAAGATAAAAGGCACAAGATTTAGCAACGTCAAGACATTAAGAATATACTATCTATAAATTTATTCAAATAATCTCACGTCTTCATTAATATCATTTTCAGAAAGTTCTTCATTTTATTATCGTCATAGTCATTTGCTTTACTTCCATCTCTCGAGTCATCTTGAATATCAATGATATCATTTTTACTTGGAATTTGTTTTGTATTTAATTGTGACTATAAAAAGTAAATACTTAATAATAAAATAATAATAAAACTCAAAGTATAATTACAAATAAATATAATAAAACTCAAATTATAATTACAAATAAGAAATATTATATTCATAACACCTGTTAATATAACACCCTTATGTTTTACTTAGGGTTATGGTCCAGTTTTAAGATAAATAGAGATTTTTTATTATACAATATATATTAGACATAAGGTTCCAATAGGTCCCAATTTCAGTTTTTATAAGGTTTTCAAGGGTGTTGAACATTTTTATTTAGAGTACCTATACCCATTTACTTAGTACATTTCTGAGATATAGTATAAAGGAGTTATATAATATGGTGTTATGAATATAACTGTTCTACAAATAAATATATACCAAAAAGATAGTACAACATTTTTTAACTACATCTTTAGTGTATCAAATATCTTTGCCATGTGGATTTAAAACAATACAACAGACTGCAAGTGCAAAAGCAATTATTGGTGGTGTTATGCAGTTTTCTTTGGACTTTTTTGGTATAGTTTTCATGATAATAGTATTAATTGTTGTGAGTTCATTATCATCCACTTCTCATAATCTATTATATGTTTCAGAGACTTGGAGATTTTTTTTTCATTTCAACGATAAGCGACAATAAAGATCTTTTATCTTCATTTTCTAATGGTTCACAAAAAATGAAA